ATTTGAAATTTTTACCTTCATCCTGGAGAAATATTACAGAAACAATATTTAGAAACCTAAGTCCTCCTTTTCTTCAAGCTTCTGGAATTTCTTAAAGTTTTGACTGGTTTCAAACAATTTGTTAATAAAACTCAAAAGGGTATCACAGAAGGTTTCAATTTCATGTGGAGGAGGCACTTCACTGTCCAACCCTCTGGTCTCAACTATGTAGCTCACTGTCTCTTTCATAATATTCCGTAGCTGGAAAATGAACTTAGCTGTTCTGAAATAATAAAATATAATTTTTCTTAATATCAAAATGCTTTTACCATAAGAAAATGGTCTCCTATAACAAAATATCCTTAATATTCTTTTAGCCAAAGTTTCTTTGAGTTAATATGTACAATGTTAAACTCTCTTTCTTTTTCTTACTTTCAATAAATTACATAATTTCATAAACTAGTATTTTTAATTTTTTTAAACAAATATAACCAGATTTTCTGTGTAATATATTTTCTTCAAAATCCTTTTCATCATCTACCTTGTCAATGAAACCTGAAAAAATATAAAAAGCAAGAAATATTTCAGGCCAAGAGCATCTTATATTAAATAGGAAGAAAGAAAATACCCTGAAAATATACTGAGAACACTAAATCTCTCGTCATCTTACTAAGTCACAAAATCATACCTTTCATCGAGGTGGAATGACAGCTGCTCTTTTCCATCAACACTAATCTGCCAACCATCTTCTGATTCCTCTGCAACAAGCTTTTGTTCAGTGAAGATTGCCACTGTTAGAGGCTGCAACAGAGACAGGTCTCTTGCAATAGTTCTTCTTGAAACTTCATCCCTAGTGAGATTGACACACAGAAGGTGGCAAGACATGTCCTGGTCCTTTGGGAGCTGATGGAGCACACAGTCACTTCCAGTGTGTACCTGCTTATTATCTCTATAAAGAAAAAGAATGAAGGGAAAAAGCATCTTTGAATTTATCAATATTCATGAATGCTATCTTTCTGGCTACCAATTAAGAGATTATTGGTTCTAGTTGTCTGTTCCACAAAATAGTATATTAAATCTTTAAAAATCTGGTCCAGACTGTGTGCAAAATATTACAATTATTTGAACGAAAAGAAAATGTAGATTACAATTTCAAGAATACTTCAACTCAAACTAATATTAACCTACTTACAAAGTCTTGATAACAAAAGAATCACTGCGAAAGATCCCCTTAGACAACACTCCTCTCTGGAGGTGCAGAATACGGCCAACACCAGCTAGTAGAACTCCCAGGACCAGCTGGTTGTTACTGCTAAAGGCATTCCAAGATGAAAAGGGAGAGCTGATGTCTTCCTTATTCAGGAGAAATCCATCATATAGGTGATCTGCATACACTCGTGAGATGCCTGTGAAAGAAGCCTAGTGCCAATTTCTTATCTTCTTTCAACTCTCCTTTTATCATTGTCTGAACATAAATTTTTAAATAAATACATGCTCTTCATCTTTCTTATTTTTCACTTGGTTATCACAATATCAATTTCTAAATGGATATATTTGTTAGGAACAGAAATATAAAATTGTTTTGCAGTATAAATATAGAGTAAACATATACACAAAATATATCTAATTTGGAAATACAGACAAACTGAAAGTGAGAAGTGTATTTTTCATTCTGACTTTTTTCTTATAATACCATATGTAGACAGAAACTTGAGACCCTAGTCTTGCCAGTCATACCTAAATTATACATGATGCTTCGATGGTTGAGGTTGTTGTCATTGCAGAAATCAATTTTATCTTTATAATGGTCCAGCTCCTCCCAGGCTGAGCACAGCCGTGCTATTGCTAAAAGATCACTGGTGTTATTCATTTGTGTTTTTACAGCTCGTGTTTCTGCTCGGTTCTCAATGTTATTCAGGAAAATGTCTCGGCCACTTGTCAGACTGGCAGTAATTTTGAGGACCGGATTCAGACACCTGTAAGAAGACAGTAATTTAGCATAATGTTAACATGGCAGGAAATAAATCTCTTTGGCAATCTATTCTTCTAATGATAAAGATATATATCTTTATGAACTACTTTATTAAGTATGTAGATTATTCATTATACAACATAAGGAGATTCCTTAAACCATTAAATGTAACCTAGCTCAACTCAACAAAGCTAAACTAAACTAAAGAAAAAAAGAAGAAAAAAGAAGAAGAAAAAGATTCAATACTAACTTGAATACTGAAGCATAAACAAGTGCCTTCGATAAATGAGGAGGAGTGGAAAAGTGCACAACACGACGCCCAAGTGCTGTGAGTTTCTCTGTGGCTCCTTGATCAAGGATTTCCAACATTCCTAGGTCCTCAAGTGTGGAAACAGCCTTGGAAATGAGCCGTCGTGATGGAACACTCAGTCCTTCTGAGAGAAAGCTAAGAGCATTCTCATCTCCACAATGTGCCTGGAATACAGTCTTTCACGTAAATAAATAAATAAATGTAAAAATTTGGAACATAGGAGAGATAAAATTTTATGCACATCTGAGACTATATGTCCTGCAATAAAGAGACTTTCTTTTTCATGAAATTATTCTGCATCCTGTACCTAATTCAAGATACTTCAAGACAGGTAGCATCAGTATTGACTGAAATCCTAGTTGGTAACTACTGAGCTAAGCTTTGCATCCTTCACTGCAAATATTAATGGGGTTTTATTTTCTCCCTTTTTCAATTTTTTATTTACCAGTTTCCATCATTGTCACTACTGGACCATTTTCAAATAAAATATATTGAGAAATTACTTACCATTGTATTTCAGAGACTAACAGAACTGAAAATGGGACAGGGCTAAATGATGTCATTGATTTAGTGAATAAGGATGAGATACCAGTTATAGCTAGATAAATAATAACTTGTATGATCTACTCAATGTTATAATAAATTCCAAAAGTAATACAACATTTATAATAACGTTATTTATAATAACGAAATGTTCCATACCACAAACAACTGTAAGCAAACTCTGGGGGAAAATAATTTTAATTTTTGGTTTGATAGGGTATATGAAAGCAGTGATATCCATTCATTAAGTACCTTGCCCTAATGTTGGGTTAGGAATTGTATTTAAAGCTAAAAAAATCTTTATAAAATCTGTCAAATCATTATTTAGATGCTGTAGTTACAAGACAGCCACATCTTACATAGTGTAAATATAGCATTATTACCAACCTTGCGAATATGAGAATTTTAAGTCACAGATAAAAGATTAATTTCAGTTCCCTTTCTTTTTGTGATCATTAAAGCGTGTTTGTTGACTTAAAAATTATATCATGTTTATTTTAATTAAGAATAATTTGATACTGTATATGCAATAAAATTATTCTTTGAATCACATACCCCAATAAGCTCATAAATACATAATACTTACAAACATTCACATGATAAAATATATTCCAAAAACTACAAACTCAATCATACATAGCAGCAGCAACTTAATTCCATATAATTTACTAACTCAACAATGTCAACCACCTCACTCACTTACCTTGCACTGGAGAATAACATGCTCGAGAGGGATCCTCATGATCTCAGGGACAGGAAAGCGGCCCATGTCCATATGCACCTTTGAGGAGTAGAGGTGGAACACTTCCCCTGGCTGAACCCGTCCTGCCCTTCCAGCCCGCTGCTGGCTATTAGCGCGCGAGATCCAGTGGTTAGCTAGTATGCTTAAATTTTTCTTTGGGTCATATCTGAAAGGTGAGCAAGAAAAGAAAAGTATGTTTATTTATCTAAATAAACATAATATATTTTTATTGAAGCTTCAATAATATATTTAACTCATACTGATTATAGTTAGATGATGAAGTCTCATTTACAATACTATATTATTCATAGTAACCTAACCTTTGCTCTTTGTGGCAACCTGTGTCCACAACATATACTACATCTTGGACTGTCAAGCTAGTCTCAGCCAAATTTGTAGCCAATACAACTTTGCGACGACCTTCTGCCGCTTCTTCAAAAATCTGCTCTTGGTCACTTGAGGACAATCTTGAATGAAGGGGCAGCACCCACAACATACTTTCTAACTCCTTCTCTTCTGTTAGCCGTGTCTGAACTGTCCGGATATCCTGCCATCCAGGTAAGAAGCACAGAATAGCACCAGGTGGCCTGGAGTTCTGTATAGATTTAATCACATCAACAACCAGATCATAGTTGATAAAGGGTTGTGAACCTGGTTCCATCAGTGAGTCAAGCTGGTAGTGTCTTGAGTTGATCTGAAGTTCATTTAATGCACATGGAAGATAGTGGCGAGTGAGAGGATACAGTGTTCCAGGGACTTCAATTACAGTTGCCTCTTCTGCCTCAAAATATTTCTGCAACTGTACAGTGCTTAGTGAAGCACTCATAAAGATAATACGTAGGTCATCTGAGCTCCTTAACAAACGACGCAGTATTATAAGAAGCAAATCTGTCTGTACTGAGCGTTCATGAACTTCATCCACTATCACATGCGATACTCCCTTAAGAGTTGGATTGGAGTGTAGACCCTGGAGAAGCATACCTGTTGTGCAGAACATAACACCTCCCTGTTCTCGAAGTCGCTGGTAATGCAAGCGGACATGAAATCCTACACTCTCACCTATCTGCAATTTCAGATGAACTGAGAATTATGTTGCATCACTGTGAAATACATAGGGATGGAACATAATACTTAAATAGCACAAGCTAAAGTATATGACAATAGAGGATCCTTTATGTTACAGAAAGATTATCAGAAAATTTAAATTGCAAGTTAACTCACTGCTGCCAGGTATATGTTCTGTCTACTGTAGTTTTCTTTTTAAAATTCTATTTGCAAACAAATAGCTGCATAACTGTTAAACCACCAAGGAGCCAGTTAGTAGGCCTCTGTGCCCTCACCTGATTTCTCCTTTTCTTGAGTTTTCTGGAAAAATACTTTTCTAATGCTATCAATATCAATGTTGTCATTATTAACATTATTGGTATTTTGATTACTATAGTGTTATTAACAAT